GTGGGATAAACTGCAGCCTACTGAACCACAACCATGTGATTCTGTCTGAATATCAATACTGAATTTATTAACAGAACAGCACAAGCTGACCTGAAGCAACCCTGTTTTCAGCTGGCGATGATGATGATGAATGTTTCCTTATGGCTATGTCTGTATGCTAATGCTTCAGGTTGCAGCTACCTCATGTGTGCCTAACCACCTGGAGTAATTCTAACATTACATAAAGTCACAGTATACTTACTCCAGACTCTCCACTGTAGTAGTTTTAAAGCCGACAATAAACATTTGATGTGAACATGTAACGCCCTACCTTCTCTCTGCCTGTTTGCAGATGCAGATGAATGTATGCTGTTTGGGAAGGAGGTGTGTAAAGGAGGCTTCTGTCAGGATACTGTGGGGAGTTTCGAGTGTTACTGCAAGGCTGGGGAGGACTACGACCCTGCTACACTGGAGTGCAGAGGTCAGGGCGATACGCAGCAAACAGAAAGTCGTGTGTGCCTGGTATTACTTACAGTGTGGGGGCTTTCTTCATGGGGCCCCGATCCTGGTCCCCAACAAATCATTGAATTTGAGAGTAACAACTTGGTTTAAGGTTAGGTTAATGGTTAGGGTTAGTGTCCAGGATTAATGTAAGTCAGTGTACAGTCCCCACAAGGGATAAAAGCAAAAGTGTGTGTGTGTGTGTGTGTGTGTATTATGCACATAATTACACACTTTGAGGAGCAGTTTGAATTTTAGGCCACAGGAGTGAAGACACTTTGGCCGGTCCTTAGTTTCTGATGCAAATTCAAAGGATTGTTTCCTGTGCCTGGCCTGAGGGCATCTGCTCACTGTGTGAACTTTAAACCCATAACCAGTGCAAAAGCCAGAGGGGTTTGCAAGTTGAATAAGTGAACAAAGTAATCAAACTTCCGGGGATCTCTAGGTCATCATCTAGACGATGATCTCCAAATAAGAAATGTTCTACTGACACATTCATAATTGAAACACTTCAGATTGCCTCAGTGAACCACACTGGGTCAGAATGCTTAATGATCAAGAAACCAAACATTCAATCACCAAACATGTTACCAACAAACACTCTAGATTAAACAGAAATGGGAAAAGGAGTTGTGACAGATATACACTGGGAAACATTCTTTCACAACATTCAACTCACAAAGTTACAAACTCAAACATGTGGAGGAAGTTTCACTGGAACCTAGTAATTAGGTTTTTCACACTCCCTATATGATATGCAGGATTAACCCTAGGCAAAAAGGGAAATGTTGGAGAAACTGCAGAGAGGAGACTGCAAACTATATTTTGAACATGTCCTGTCCTACATATGTTTTGAAGCAGAATATTAGAAATACTCAATAAAGTAATTGGTTTGCAGCTCCTCGGGGTCCTTGGTTAGTCCTACTGGGACTAGTCCTTAAAGAAACATGAAAAGAAGTACATTTTACATACTGTATACTACAGGCAGCTGGCAAAAATGCACCAACGGTGAGCTGGCAAGCAAAAATCAATGAAATGTACATAATGGTAAAATACATTTATGTTGACATTACAGAATATACAGTGTAGAGAGAGGTGATTGACTTGGCTGAGGATGTACTCTAAACTAACCAGAATTTTGCAGGCATCAAAGTAACTGAACAGTTTCAACACTTACCCTAGGTCAGTGTGTTCTCATTCATGTGGCTGATATGCAGCATCACTCGGATTGATATACAGTATATATACATTTTTTTCACATATTATTTCTGTATGAACAAACCTGTGTTACAGAGATGTAGAGGCAGGAAATAAGGGTGGTGAGAGTGGACCGCTGGGTCGGCAGGAGAGCAGAAAACTGTTACTGAATGTGAAGTATCAATGTCTCTAATAACACACACTAAGTGCATGCAGACAGGATGAAGTAACGCTGATGTTGTGTAGAGTAAGGACAGGAGGAATGGTTATTTCCTATCCTGTATGTACAAAAGAGAAATTAATGCAATGTGGAATGTACACTAAATTTGTATACATTCACTACACGGCAGGTTGCACAGAGCTGGCCGAGGGTCACAACATAGTTTTAGGGTTAAGGGTAGAATTGGGTTTAGGTTAGGCACTTATGTAATGGCTAGGCAATTTATTATATAACTGAGAATCCTCACAAGAACAGCTGTGCAGGTGTGTGTGTGTGTGTGTAACAAAGACAGAAACTGTGCATTTAACATGCTAAACGTTTCCATGTAGTACACATAACACTTAAAGTCTGACGTACCTGAAAACTTAATGTCAAGCCAAATAGTGAGTCTGAACGCTGTGCTCACTGTGCAGCAGTTTGGAAACACAGTATTAGACGACTGCACCAGACCCACTCTGTGCTGATCTGTTAAACTAGCTACACATTAAGTAGACAGGGTGCAGAGCATAGCAGCTCCTGCTCACAGCATGGGCTGAACACGCCAAGCCAGGCTGAATGCACCGCCACGCTGAATACCTACAGTGTCTGAATTACAGCTGTTATATTTTTGCTGTAAAGCTGTCAAAAACAGAATTCAGGCTGCGACCTCAGTTTCTTTGGCAGGTCAATGTGCATTTTTAGAATGTTTTCACAGAGTATGGCTGTATATCTTACTAGGTACAAGAGAAAAGGCTATACAGCAGTTTATTTGCAAGGCCTGAAAAAGTGGCACTTATTTGAAGTAGAATCATCTAAATTAAAAACATTATGACAGAAACATTCTAGTTTAAAATACGTCTGACTTTGAAAACAGTAACGGTTCCTGGTCCACTCACTGGCTTTTCATGGAGCTTTAAACGCCAGCTGACAGTCTCATCTATGTTGACTCAAACTTTAAGAAGTGCCTTCTCTTTATGGTATTTCTGTGTATTTTTAACTTTAATGACAGAAGTTGTTTTAGGGTGACAGGAAAGTAAGGAAGTGAGAAATGAGTTAAACTGCTCCAGGAAAAGTAGTAAGTGAAAGTGTTAAACTACTGATTTCATGGTTAAGAATAAACTTGCACAATCAAATGTTAGGCCAACACAGATGCCCAGGAAAGTGGAAAAAAAACCCACAAGATGTGATTAAAAGCTCCAGATAAAGCTAGTAAGTCGATCATGAGTCAAAATTATGGCAAATCTTGAATGTTACTTTTCTGACTCAACAGTGGTTTCACTCTGAAAAGATGCTCTAAAATAGAGTACCTGTAAATCTTGGGTACCTCTAGATTAGCTTGATACCCCTCATAGCTCCAAATAGTCTGTAATTATTTCAGAACGATAAAACCAGAGAGCGTCTTCCTAAAAACAAGAGGATAGTTTGTGAACAACTCCTCATGTCAGTGTTGTGTCGCAAGTGGAAAGCAGGACAAACCACAACAGCATTAATTAATTTGAATTTTTCCTCCATAGATAGGTCAACATAACAGTATATGTACCAAATGAAAAGAGATGTGTAACACTCTAAACAAAGCCCATATTTTAACTGGCATAATGTAGACATAGTAACTTCTCCAACCTTACAACTATTCTCTCTAACATTACAAAAGACACGCATTAACAGACACGCAACGTATTTTTTACTCCACCAAAATGATGCAGCATCGTTCAGAAAAAACATTGGATCTAGTTCAGCTTTTTTTTATTTGTTAGCAAAGCAATGTGTGTTAATGGTAATACAGGGTGAGGATTTGCAGCTGGCAAAATTCTCTGACTAACGGTGAGTCCCAGTTCCCCTAATTGCATCCATGTTTCCCTCACTTGCATCTTTTCCTTGCGTCTTAGTCCCGCCCATGTAAGACACAAGCAAAAGATGCAAGGAGAAACTGTGAGGAGAGAGAAACCAAGAAAACATGTTTTAACCGACATGAGATGTCCTTCTTGTGAAGTGTCCACAAACTGATATTTGATAAAGGGGCATGTCAAGTCGTAACAGACTTTGGGGAAGGATGCTTTCATGTATCTTCAGTTATAGTTCCTCCAGGCAGCTTCCTCACTCCTTGGTCCTCACTCCTCAGAGCAGAAATCAGATTTCTTTGGGATATCCTTCATCATGGTGGACCGGAATGACTTCCAGATCGAGTGATGATCAAGGACTGATAAAATAAGGGAACTGGGATTCACCCTAAGTAGTGGTGTTTTTCCATAAAATGTCTCTGCTCTTCTTTGTCCTAGACATCGATGAGTGTCTGGATGAGTCGGTGTGTGGTGGCGGACACTGCGTGAACACAGATGGCTCATACATGTGTTTCTGTGCACCTCCCTTGATGTTGGACCCTATTCGTAACAGCTGTGTCATCAATCCCGAGAACACCAGTAAGACAGCCATTTCAAAACTTAATACCATTTTTTCCTATAATCACATTATTTGTGTTAAATTTTGTCTCTGTAAAACTTGAGTGGTCGAATAACATCACATTTTAGATTTTACAAAACACTGGACTTGCAGCTCATTAATGTTCAAAGATGTTCTTATTCTGAAGGAGCTTCTCAGGCAAAAACTTTACCAACAAGTTGCACTAGTTCAAATCTTGCTAACCGTTATCTAGCTTTAGCCACGCTAAGCTCGGCTCCTCAGACTCAAACCTCATATCCTGACCTGACAGACTGAATTCAGCTGAAACATGCTCAACTTACTGATAGACTGCACCAAATTTACAAAAAAAAAACAAAAAAAAAAACATACTTTTGGTAAAATTTGTTATTGCTCATCCACCTTATATTTCACTTTCTATTTCACTTGTATTTTGTGGCATTCATGTGGACGGCAAAGTAAGAATTTCATTGTACAGGGAAACACGTTTCCTAACTGTGCATATGACAAATAAACACTTTGACCTTTGACCTTAAAATACATAAATTATGCTGGTAAATGTATGCAGCCTACTGTAGATGAATCAATGTTAAAACAATACTTTTTGTGTAGTTACCTACAGACCAAACAAAATTTCAATTTTAATGTCAGTGACAGCTGTGTGTGTTTGCAGGCCCATATGAGGCGCAACAGAGGGACTTCCAGGGGATCTGCTGGCAGACTATTACAGAAACCACCATGTGTAGCGAGCCACTGGGCCTCGACAGGAAGACCACATACACAGAGTGCTGCTGCCTGCATGGGAAGGCCTGGGGCATGGACTGTGCCCTGTGTCCACCCAGAGACACCGGTACACGCTGCACAACAACACACACGCAGTACTGGTATGGAGGGCAGGCTGAGAGATGCCATAACGCATGTCTGTATGTGTCACATCGTGTTGTAACAGTTGCTGAGCAGTGTTTGTCAGCACGGACACAATTGAACTCGCTGATGTAAACTAGCTGTTGAGCATTTCGGGTACCAGCAAATTGTGATTATACGGCAAGCTTCATCACGCTCACTGCTCTGTGATCACAGGCTGAATGTGGATTGATTTGTTGTGCTTCAGTTCTAAATGCAGCTCACAGTCCAGACATGAATGTGAGGCAGCAAACAGAAACTAGCAGTCTGATGATTAGCTCCAAACACAAAACATTCATTTCCCTGTAGCCAAGTGTTTGACTTCTCCAGCTGAGATGTGAGACGGCAGTGTGGCAACATTAAATGCTTTTAGAATAAAATGTTTTCATTTTAATAATATAAGCTGTCGGTTTAGGAAGGCTAAAGCACTATCACAATTTTTTTCTGTTAAATATTCATCAATGTTAATGGCAATATTAAAAACAAATCTTTAACGTGTCATTTGGTTGCACACGATTAAATGCCATAAAAATAATTTAGCTCATATTACTATTATAACATTACAGTTAGAGGTTGTAAATATTAATTATGTCATGGCTTTTAAAAATTGTTTAATTTTCATTTTAATTACAGAATAGTTATTTTGTGAAATCTGTCAGCACCAGCGGGCGTGATGTTACATTGTACCATCACACCTGGTATAAGGTTGCCACATCTGCCCCGTATACTGTGAAACAGGATGCAAGAACTTAGTGGAATCAACTAAGAAATTAGTGTTAAATTAACATAAATATGTAGGTTTTGGTAATTTTAAGTTAATTCAGCTTAGGAAGTCTAGCTTTAAATTATCCAACCACATTAGAACTTATAAACAGGAGTTGTTGAAGAGCCCATTCATGGTGAAAACTTTATTTTTGTAATACACATTAAACTAAATCATGGCTGTTTCTCTTCATAAAACTGAAAATGATGCAAACCATGGTAAAGGGTAGTACTGACTTGAGCCACTACCCCCGACACACTCATCTGACAAACTGGGACAAACTGACGTAACAGCTACACCCGTGCAGTTCTGCAGAAAGGTACAGAGAGAGAGAGGACACACTACGGTAGAGAGGAAATGCACAGTTAGTGGTGGCATATGGATGGATGGAGAGGAGAGGGGAGGGGAGGGGAGGGGAGGAGAGGAGCTCAGCATCATGGGATGACCCTCGGCCTAGGCCTATAACTAAAGGATGGTACACCAAACCAAACTTGTCCAATAATTTCACAGACACCACTACATGGGCCCAAGCAAAGGCCGTCCTGTTCCCATTCACTGTTCACAGGTATCCTCACACACTCTTTGCCCTCTGTTCCCTACAGGTTGCCGTAAATGCATCAACACCAATAGCAACATACCTACAGAGCTTCCAGTACTGTGCATAACATGCGAGTGCGTGGAACCACTGTCTAATGAGTCAACTGGAAAACTGTGGTATCTCCTGACTTGTGTTGCTCAGTTTTATGTGTCTCTTCTCTCATTCTACCTCTCTCTGTTTCCCTCAGTGCATTATGCATACATGTGTAACCTTCCTGTGGGTGGCGAGCAGCGGCTGTACGGACAGGACGCTCTTGTGGCCGGCCCAGTCCATGAATATGAAGTGAGCCCAGATTACTCACTGTCACCTGAGCAGGAGGCTGCCCTGTCCTATTATGAGAACAAGGAGTGTAAGTATTTGTATTTTCTGTGTCCTTTATATGAACAGAGAAAATGCACTGAGCCACATTATTGTTTTCTTCAACTAAAAGTGGCTTGTTACCCCTGAAAATGGAGCAGTATCTACTTGTGATACATCACTGGTTGTTCACTGGATGTAAGTCATCCAAAAGATGATTTGTGTGTGTGTGTGTGTTTTATCTGAATAATTTTAAAAGCTGAGATAAAAAGAATATTCAGTAATATTCCTCTGTTCTTCGAGGTTAAAGAGACAATTTAAACATTAAAGTCTAAAAAATAATATTATTTTGCACATTCTTGCATGTTGAATTTTGATGCAGCTGTTGCGGCCCGTCTGTACAGTACATGTTTCTCCACTCATAGGTTTCGTAACATGCAGAGTAGACAGAACATCATGGAAAACAACTTAGAAAATAAATTAATGCAGTTATAACAAATTTAATTACAAAAAACAATAAACATAATTAAGTAATACTGTGAAGAACTGATGCTGTTGAATACAACTTCAAAAAAACACCATAGTGAAACATCTGTCTTCTAGCTTTATTTGAAGTTAACTGACAATGTGAGCATTGTAGCAGAGCTTTTATTTAAAAGCCCCTTATTTTAAATTTATATATATATCACTAAGAATTTGTTTTGAAAGCCAAGAAGCTTTGGAGATGGCAGGATCTGCATTCATGGAGGGATTATTAGTGAATCTACTCTCTGATGGAAATAAGGTGAAGAAACTATTAAAAACATCTCTCAGCATAACATATTACAATTAAACCGTGGTACAAACTGCATCCCCCAAAATGGTCATAAAGATGACCTTCAATAGTAGGTATCATGTCATAAACAAGCAGATTCAGTTTCTCTGAGGGCAAACACTTTTTATTGTACAGAGCAGGGGTGGGAGAAGAAATGGATTCACATTAGAATCGAGATTCATAACTTCTACGATTCTAAATTGATTCACAAATGCTAAAAACTTTTTGTCAGTGTTGATGGGAACTCAACCATGAACCCAGCGTTGCAGACGGACAGCAGACATAGTTGTAATGTTAGCTCATCTTCAGATGAGGAATTCATTTGTGTGTGTGTGTGTATTGATGACTTGATCATGAGCTTTGTAAGACAGGTGCAAAGAACTGTACTTTGTAACCCATCACCAACACTCTGATGTTAGTGTAACAGAGCATCAAAGGTATGAATGAACAAGCAGCTCAGTGACACACACTGCAGCACTTCAGTCAAACTGGTAGGTCAAAGAAAACACCTTGTTTCTACAGACCTGTGCCATTTTGGATCACGCTGGCTTCAACACAGACACTGTTCTCCACCGCTGCAGACGTAACGTTAACAACACAGCCCAGCACTCTCTTTGTTCCTCCATCTCCCCTTTACAAAACACACCACACACCAAAAACCAGATTGTTTTCTGAAGTAACACTAGCAGTGCCACAGTGTGGAAATACTCTAAAAGTTCTGCATTCAAAATATTACTTAAGTAAAAGCATAAAAGTATTGGCATCAAAATATAACCTAAAGTGCCAAGAGTAAAAGTACTCATTATGTAGACTGACACATTTATTATTTGAAGCTGCTACTGGTAAAGGTGGAGCCAGTTATAATAACCTTATATACTTTACGTACTGCTGGGTAGCAGTGTGTAAAGTGCTTGGTTTTGATGCTCTTTCAGAACCAGTTAGCTTAACTGTCTGTTAAACTTCATTTGCAGCTCAGTGGGCATAGGAAGTTATCTGACACACAGTAAGCCAGAGTAAGAGCCAAAATATATTTCTGAATAATAGTTCTGAATCCAATCGTGACACCAAGAATCTGAATCATATCAAATCCTGAGTGTGCCAAAGATTCCCACATGTGATTTTAAAATATTTTTTTATTTTTAATAAATTTGCATAGATTTCAAACAAACCTTTTTCACGTTGTCATTAGGTAATATTTGTAGAATTTTGAGGACAATAATGAATTTAATTTATTTTGGAATAAGACTGTAACCTAACAACATGTGGAAAAAAGTAAGCGCTGTGAATCCTTTCTGGATGCACTGTATCGTCAGAGGAGGAGATCCCTCTGCTGACACAGAGAGTCGGTGTACAGTGATGGCAGTCGGCAGCGTTGTGTGTCACAGTGGAGCTGAAGCAGTGTCTTCTCCAGTTTGACCAGTAGGTGGCAGAGGAGATGTGAGGTGTTCTCCTTGACGTTCAACAGTTTGTGCAGCATCCTGTCCAAAACCAGCTCCAATAGATACAAGCATCTTCCGAGAATAGTGTCCCTTTTTTGGTGTTAATCATTCAAACAAAGATTTGATTTCAGATTGGTGCACCTTGTTTTTTTTTGTTTGCTTTTTTGTTGTTGGGTTTTTTTGCTACAGATCCACATAAGGCATTTGAGGGATTGCGAGCAGAGGAGTGTGGGATACTGAATGGCTGTGAGAACGGTCGGTGTGTCCGGGTTCAAGAGGGTTACACTTGCGACTGCTTTGATGGATACACCTTGGACCTGTCCCGCATGGCTTGCATCGGTAAGACAGCAGTTAAACACAATGATAACAAAGAAAAACCCACCCCTTGGAATATGTGTCATGTTTTCATGTCATCTCTGTCCTCCTCTTTCCACAGATGTAAACGAGTGTTCGGAACTGAACAGTCGGATGTCGCTGTGTAAGAATGCCAAGTGTATCAACACAGTGGGCTCATATAAGTGTGTGTGTCTGCCAGGCTTCACTGCCTCTGACAAACCCAACTACTGTGTGGAGGCAGCAACAGACCAGACATCAACGCACACACCGTGAGCATGGACAGGCACCGCGCAGGGACGAGAATAAACACAAAACCACATGTACAACTTTGTAATACTATACTTGTGAGGACATCCGCTGACTACATGCAGTCACTGCTAAATACTTAACACCATCCTTAAAGTTAAACTTGCTGGTGTCCAGCAGTGCTCTCGAATCTCAGACCACTTCACAGCAGATCACCATCAGTGACCTGGAGGAACATATAACAAAAATATTCTCTTCACTCACCGTATTACACTTCTGCGCTGCACCACCTAGGAGTTTTTTCCTCTTGTATTATATTAATTATATTTTTCATTTTAATGGTTTTTTTAATGTGGACATGTTTAAATAAACCATTCCTAAATATTATGAAGTACCCCAGTGTTAAAGGATAAGGTCAGTCATTTTCTATATTAACAGCATTTTCAACACTCCCCATACAGAGACTAAAACCGACAGTGATTTGCCTCTACTCATGATTAATGTCTGTTTCCTCATTATGAAACACAAGACCCTAATAATTTTTAAGAATATCCAGAGATGTCGTGCACGGGCCCTCGACTCCTGCCACTTCAGATGCTGTAAAAGGTTATGGCTGTTTGGGGCCCCTGGGGCAACATCTTTTAAAAATATCAGGGTCTTGTGGTTCATAATGAGGAAACGTCACCCACTGCTGCAGTGTTTCCCTGATGTGTTTAATTGTTTTTGAACAGCAGTGGAGGTCTATGGCACATAATCCAGGACTGATGGACACTAACAGTGAGTAGAGGCAAATCAGTGTTGGTTTTATTCTCTGGATGGGGAGTGTTTAAAGCGCTGTTAAAATAGAAAATGACCAGCCTGATCCTTTAAAACCTAATGGCTAAAAGACATAAAAATGTTATTTTAAATGAATTTTCACTGACCGCACTGTACTGTTCTCTCATCATGGGAATTATTTAGTAAAAATAACGAATTGTACATGCCATGGACGCTGCAGTATCTGTCAATCCAATAAAAACTTTGAGGGTATTAGAACATCCATTTCACATTCACACTGACAACCACATAAGCAAAACAGTGACTGTAGCGTGCTTGGTGATACAGAGAGAACGCGAGTCTACAGCCGCGCACTGGTGTTACACTAAGCAGGTACATTAATCATCAAAACAGCCCAGTTAAGGCCGACAGAATGTTCATTTGGGTAGTATTTAAAAATAAACCAGAGCAGGGGACAAGGTATAATTTTGACCTGATGATGGCACTAAATGAAAAGTCACATCAACAAAGGTATTACAGTTCATCCTTAGGGGATTTTTATTTCCCAAGTTGGACTAAAGTGGTGGGCTGACCCAGCGATGCACCACTAGTGTGACTAGCAAATTTGAGAACTGCTGCTTGAGAGGATCCTCTTATGCTGCCTGACTAATTGAAACCATGTATCACTCCCCTGCACACATGGTGTATTGTGAGGGTTTTTTAAAATTATTTTTCAGTCATTGTTTTTTTACTTCATTTAGCTCCTCATCTGATGGAGTCCCTGGTGAGTCATTTTATATCATGTTTAATTATAAGGTTTGCATTTACACTCACTGGCCACTTTATTAGGTACACCGGTACAACTGTATGCACTTCAATGCAACACTTCCACCTTAACATCTGTTTATGAAGTTCAAAATGTTTCAGTTTTTGGAGAAATTGTCATAAATGTTTATTACTGAGGTTACAGTTAAAGGTGGTGTTGTACTGGACTACATTATATTTAGAGGCGTTCCTAATATTTTGACTCATGTATGTAGATGGGGAGGACAAAAATATCAAGATAATGCTGAATATAATGTTGTCAAGTCGAGCTGAGAACACATTCCTGCACATACAATAGAGTAGCCTATTGTCCATACCCTGATTCTGGTGTGTGTCATAAGGTGTTTATGGAATATAAGAACCCTGTTTACTCTTGTGATTTTTACACAGCGTTGTGAGTAAATGTACTATGAGGTCGCAAAAGCTGCAGCCAGCAGGTCATGACACGTTATATGTCCCCATCTATGGTCACTCTACAGTCTCCTCTCGGAATCAGCTGTTTAGTAGTCTGTGTTTCTCTCTTTCTTAATGTAAAGGCTGCACTGGATGTCGGTGACAGACTTTTAAAAGTACATTGGGCATCTAATCACAAAATATTTCTCTGTCCTCTTTGGTGGCCCTCCACATGGTGGTGCCCTAGGCAACTGCCTGGCTGACCTATAACTAAATACAGCCCACTTACACACACTTGATTCATTAAAGTCCATATATTCTGCACTGTATAAGATACACAGTACACACAGTATACACAGTAAATGAAACGGTAATTTACTTGAGATAAAGATTCATTTAAGTCTACTACGTGGTACCCACTGTTTGTGGGGATAGAAACAGAATTATATCAAATGTATGTTTAGTCTGTTGTTTTTCTAAGTTTGTTTCTTATTTTGTTGTAAGTGGAGTTATAAGAGGCATTAGTGTTCATTTATTGACAGTCCCTATGGGCTGGTGCTGGGGATCCCAGTCAAACTGATAGTGGATATTTAATTCAGTGAAGACGCCAGCTGTCCGCTCCCTCTCCTCCTCCTCCTCCTCCATCATCCCTCTGTTTGCCATAATGATACGCTTGTTACCGCAGTATAGCATCACTAAAAACATTTCTCATGGAGAAACAATATGCACATTGTAATGTACCAAAGACTTTAGAATAGGTTTTTGATCATGTTTTGTCTTTGTTTTATAAGAAAGCTAAAATGCAATTATGTTATCTTTCAGATAAGACAAAGCCAAGTTTCATGTTTGCTACCTGGCATTTCTTCCCCTCACTTTCTATGTGTTGAGATGACTGAAATGAATTTTTGTTTGGATTTTATAGTTTTTTTTTCTCTTGTCTGTGTTTCACTGCAAACTCTTGCCAGGTGGCAAAGCTGCTATGTGACAGCGACAGGGGAGAACAGACGTACATTTAAACAGAAGAGCGGAGGCAACAGCTGATGTATTTGTAATCTGTACATGAATAAATAGCTTTTTCTATGAATTCCTATTACAATGTACTTTAAACCCCTTGGTATTAAACCGCAAATTGTGATATTTAATGTTGCCTGGCCTGTCACTTTTAGATATTTCAAACATGGCTCATTTTTCACAACAAAGGAGAAGCTTTGCATTGTAGAGATTTAAGCAAAAACTGGTGTGCATGCTATGGGCCTGAACTGGGTGGACTCCAGATTATATTGCATGAAACAGGACATGGGCAGGGTGGGGGTCTCGGGTCTGCTTTTCAATGTGTCTGGCACCTGAACGATTCATCTCTAATAGCTTTTTAAAATTATTTGTGCACATTGCTTGGGTTAGGAATTCCACAGTGGGATTTCTGGTTCAAATGTTTGGACCCTTTGGGGTCTCTTTTGCAAATACTGTATCTATGCTTAGATGCTGTAACAGAAGACGGCGAGCACTCATATTAAATGATCTGTAACAGAAGGATTGCAAACAGCTGAGCTGGTCTTGTTCAGGGGTGAGCCCCCCATGTTTTATCATACATACTGTACATCATTTGTAATCAGGGGTTGCTTTCACAGTTGAAAAAACTGTGCAGAGTTATTTCCTGATACAAATATAAAGAAGGAATAATTTGAAGGTAAACTTACAAACAATTATTCTCAAGCTATGTAGGTCTATGAACTGAGTTTTGTTTGGTGTCGTTTCTCTCCCTGTACCTTTCTGCAGGTAGCCCTGGCTCCAGAGCTGTACGTTTGTTGTTTCATGTTCGTTGTGTCCTGATGCTTTTCTTCTCTTCTCTCTCCCCTCTATCCACTCACCCCAACCTTTTGATGCAGAAGGCCACCCACAAAGACCGGGGGTCTGTCGGATGTTTCTTACGTTATGTAAAGTGCCTTGAGGCGATTGTTGTTGTGAATTGGCACTATATAAATAAATTGACTTGAACAGAATTTTTAAAAATTTGTTGTTTCATTGGATTATAAGTATTATGTATTAAGTATTATGACTGAACTTAACATGCTCATACAATGAGCCTGTGACTTATTAGTGCTGTGTGGAGGACTTGAAAGTCAAGAAGTGCTTAACAGACTTTTAAAAAATACAACAAAATATAAAATCATTTTACACAAAAATAACTGCAAAACTAATTAAAACATAATTTGACATTCCACAGTAAATCTACATAAACATCGGATCAATTATCTGATTTATAATTGCCTGTCTGAGGCACAAGTCACTACTAAGAAATACTTCTGATTCATTTGTCATTGTGTGTGAGGTGCGGAGCTGAGGAGGTGCGCTCCAGCAGGTCTTTAAGAATCACTAATCTGAAACCAAGTGCACACAAAGTGATTACACATCATCACACAAAACAACACAAAAACAGCTCATGCACACAGTGATTACACATCGGCACACAAAACAACACAAAAACAGCTCATGTACCATGATAAATAAAACATACCCTGTCCCAGTACAAGTTAGTCTGCACACTGCTGTCATGAAGCTCATAGTATGGAGTGGAAATGGGTTTATATACTGATATTGTATTAGATGCTTCTTTAGACCATGAATGTGAAAGTCCTAGCTGAAGGGGATCATCTATCAAACAGTGTTTTTAGTCCAAATGTCATGGTATGATGTGTTATGTATGACCCTTACCAAACCAATGGGAAGGTGCAGCATGGCTTCATTGCATCTTGTCTTTCTTTTTTCACTGTTAGGGTCTTTAACTTATAAATCACACTGTGGAGCATTCCAGGAAAGGTCAGAAAGATTTAATGCCTTACAGATCACCTGGCCACAACTGTAGCTACCACCGAGGTACTGAAAGTCCGCACCTTGTTAACATTTACCACAGGTTGGCCCATTTTTGTTTCAGTTGTTCTTGTAATTGAAAGAGATTTTTTGGCCTAAATTAGATCATTTTAAAAGTCCCTGCAGATTTCTAATTATGGCCTACCTATAAACTGGGCAAATGAAAGTGAGCAGGTGGGACTATCTCAACACTCCTGTGAAACTGCACAGTGGCCATCTGCATGGATGCTGAGTCACACAGGAGTCTCAGTAGACACAATGTCAATATGAGTGTAGCATCAGGCATTATTTATGAATTTATTTATTATGGATTATGAATGCAGTGTTTCTGTGGGTCTGAATAGTGTTCATAACATTTTCCTCTGGCTTTTTTCCCTCACATTCAAGTGGCCATGATAACCAAAGGCAGTGAAACATATCAACATCTGAAAACTTTTCATTTTGTTTATCTGAAGATGGGGCAGATATCTAGTGAGTCAGTGAGTACCCAGTTTCCATGACAACCAGCATACCACAGTCTACCTAGTGAGCCTTCTATCACTGGATTCCAGGAAAATGAAAAACTACTGCAAACTAAGGCCCTGCATCAAACAAACA